TTTTTGTTGATGGAGAATGGCGGCACGATGAGAACCAACCGTTTGTAAGCGGAAATTACGGGGTAGTGAACACTATCTTCTTAGAACCTGATATGATTCCTGCTTTTTTTAGCTCAGATATGCCTGGTAGATCGAATATGGATGTGGATAATGATCCCATTCTTCGACAGGTAAGAGACTCCTAATACTTACCACTAAAATGTTCTTTAGGTATTATTTTATGCTTTTTTGTTTTTCCCCATAAAAGAAAAAACTACTTTTGTTTTGGCCGCTTGCCAAGTGCTCTCTGTTTGCCATCTTTATGTGAGGGGATTGTAGGGACTTGTTATAGCAGGGATATGTAGAGGTTCACATTGCTTGTCCTGCCACACTTTTTTTTTTGCATTCTTTGTGTTCTGTTATTTAAGTGAAGGCCCTACTTGATTTTTCTTCAACATTTTCTCCAAGTCCCAACATCTTGCATACGATAGATGTGAAAATTAACATGCCTGCTGGACAAGGATGACCTCATTAATTCCAATCAGAATTTGTGATGATGCATCTGACATGTATGACGTATATAACTGCTAAAGTTTACAGGAATTTCTTTTTTACTTGGAATGTTTGTAGTGGAGCCTATAATTCCTAGGGTCTAGTTCGCAATTACGTGCAAAGATTAAAGTCAAGAGGGGCTTTTTGAAGAGAGAGAAAACTGTGGATAAGATGGCACCCTGATACCAGCATTATGATTTCCAAGTAATACACTTTGAATCTTATTGTGACACACAGATTGGTAATGTTCTCAGATGGTAATTTGCAGGAAGCAGTTCCTAGGATATCACAAGCTGATATAGAGTTATCTCGCCATCGTATATCTGTATTCTTGTCTACGCATACTGCTTATGAATTACTTCCTGACTCTGGCAAGGTTTGGATGCTGGGCCTGTCTTTATGAACTCATTGTTCAGTAATTTTTTGGGATGCCGTAATTTGGTCTAGCTAAATTTTTATGGCACAATGCTTCTGTAGGTCATTGCCTTGGACGTGAATTTACCAGTGAAGCAAGCATTTCATATTCTCTATGAACAGGTAATCTTGAATGAACGCCACTCAGATCTTGTACACATCAGTTTTGCATATTCTGCATTACTGAATTCTGTTTTTCTGACAATTGCCAGTGGAGGTATCAGTGATGATTTTAGGTGGAATGGTTTGGTTGTGTGCGTGTGCATGTGCATGTGCATTTTTTGCATGTTCTTTAGGTCACCCAAATTTAACATGTTTTCTACAATCTAAAATAGACTAAACAGTGTACTTGTCTTCTGCATTTCAATGATTTTTCAAGGGTAGGACTAAAATGAAGGGTGAAGATAGAAAAAGTTATTAACGTCGTAAGTTGGTCAAATATGGAAGACTTGGTGGCTTCAAATTTCAATATGTAATGATGCCTTATCAAGTACTTGATTTGATAATATCTGCCCTTGCTTGTGTGAGCGTGCTTGTGCATTTTTTGCATGTTCTTTAGGTCACCCAAATTTAACATGTTTTCTACAATCTAAAATAGACTAAACAGTGTACTTGTCTTCTGCATTTCAATGATTTTTCAAGGGTAGGACTAAAATGAAGGGTGAAGATAGAAAAAGTTATTAACATCGTAAGTTGGTCAAATATGGAAGACTTGGTGGCTTCAAATTTCAATATGTAATGATGCCTTATCAAGTACTTGATTTGATAATATCTGCCCTTGCTTGTGTGAGCGTGCTTGTGCATTTTTTGCATGTTCTTTAGGTCACCCAAATTTAACATGTTTTCTGCAACCTAAAATAGACTAAACTGTGTACTTGTCTTCGGCATTTCAATGATTTCATAACTTTATTATTGTTTATTTAGATTTTATAAACATTTCACAAGGCTTTGACCTAAAACTCCATTTGGTTCTCTGACTCGAGGGTAGCACTAAAATGAGCGGTGAAGATAGAAAAAATTATTAACATGGTAAGTTGGTCAAATATGGAAGACTGTGTGGGTTCAAATTTCAATATGGAATGATGCTTATCCAGTACTTGATTTGACAAATTGAATAAGTATCCTGTATATGGGTTTCTGAACCTCTTCTTCCTATCCAGATTACATAGATCTTACTGGATTTTATCTTATCTGAGTGAAGCTATTTTCAGGGAATTCCTGTGGCTCCTCTCTGGGATTTTTGCAAGGGCCGATTTGTTGGAGTTCTCAGTGCACTAGATTTCATCTTGATTCTCAGAGAGGTATGCACTATTGTAATTTTCTTCCAGATCATTATTATTTGCCAACCAATTTGTTTCACTATTTTGGAATAAAGTTGTATTTTGGTTAATATTTCTAAATCCCAACTCTGGAGGGTTTTTTTGAGAAAATATATCCATAGCTTTGTGAACACAAAAGGTTTTGTTTTCCTGATTGAATTGCAAATTGATAAGTTTTAACTTGAAAGCTTCTGCGTGTCTGTTCCAAATATTTTTCTATTATTCTCAATGTAGTAAGATGTTCGATAGTAAGTCTCTCTAGGTGAGCACAGACTACAGTAATTTGTTAAAAGCAGAACTTTTTGCGATATCTTGAGTCTGAATATGAGTTTTGAGGGTAGAATGCATATCCTTATATATTTGTATATGGAGACATGCACATGAAGGTATTCCAGTCATTGACTACAATTTAGTATTATTCAAATATTAATTCTTCTTGTTATTAAGAGTGACAATTTCAACATCAACCTTGATATAATTTGAACGCAATGCAAAATTAGCAGTTTTGAGTTAAGAGATTTTTACAAGAGTGACAATTTTCAACATGAACCTTAATTTAACTCGAACCCAATGCAAAATTAGCAGGATTGGGTTAGAGATTTTTACCCAATTAGCTAATTACATGGGGTTTGAATTAACATGTCATAATATTGGGACACTTCCACAAGGGCCCCTGTTTGAAAATGTCCTATAAAAGCTTCAGTTTACTGTCTCTCTCTCTCTCTCTGCCCCCTTCCCCCCCCCCCCCCCCCCTTACTAAAAAAAAAAAAAAAACCTAACTCCCAACAAACAACACACCTAGACCAAGATCAATATATTTTCGCCGCTGTTAAGATGGTTTTTTCTTGCCATTAGAATCTGCGTCTAATAGTTCAAAAACTTTTCATTGGTACCCCACCCCTTCTATGTTTGGCAGCCACAATTAAGTGATGGCGGGCATTCATTATCTAGCACCAGCAATTGGTTTAGGAGGCTTATGTGCATGTTTATGGATGTGATCCTGGAACTTTATGTACTCTTTTGGCTGGTTGATTTGGTGTGACATACTCCTTTGAAACTCAATATGTTTCAGTGTTGCAGCATCCCATATTTTTGTTGTGGGTGCAGACCTTCAGAAGGAGCCATCGAACTTATTCTCTGCAATCTCGGCAAGGAGAATCTTACTATATCTCTATCTATTAAGATATTATTTTGGGGTTGGGTGGGTTTGCATGTGTTTTTTTGGTTACTAGTTTGTGCACACGTGTATTGCACGTGACAATATTAACTTGTAGTTATACTGGTAATGTTAGTTCAAAGATCGAAATTACAACATAATAGTCTCAAAGACTATGCCCTTCGCAAGTTTGAATCAATTAAAGAATGTTTCATTTTTGTTGGGTCAAAATATGAACAAATAAATAAATTAGATAGCAGTAGTATCACTCTATTGTTATGTCCAATTGCTTCTTTGTCTGTAACACTTAAACCAAAAACTGAAATAAAAATCATAGGATTATTTTTTTATTTAAAATTTTATCTTGCATATAGGTAAAAAGAATGTTAATTCTTAATTAGAGACCATAAACAGTCGTGTTATAAACAGTCGTGTTACTCTAGTTATTGAACAATTGAACATATACTTGGGAATGATTCACATAAAAGGACAAAAAATATTTATCAATTCTTTGTAGTGTCTGTTGTATTACCCCAATTTATTTAATGATACCATCTAAATACCAATAATAAAATATTCCGTTGTGACCCAAAACACATTCTTTGGTAAACCTCAACAATGTTAGTAAAAAAATTTGAACAAACATAAATGATGTGCAATGTTACTAAGCTACAAATAGTTGCATAAATATTTGAAACCTGAATACATCACCTACTCCAATTAAAAAATCTAAAGCGTAAGACAAGCATGACAGAAGTATCGATACTCCTAATTGGTCTTAAAACAACTCCTTACTTTTGACATTAGAAGACCCACTGAAGTCGAAACAACTCGCACAAGTCTTTCATTGTTAATAAATTGGTAAATCATGCTTGGTTTAATTTTTTAAATAAAATGACATTCATCGGATAAAACTAAAAGTAGGTTTCTAACAGATCCCAAGTTGGAATGTACTTCTATTTTCAATAAGAGACATGCAATCAACAAACAAAATTAATAGAAATCTACAATAATAAAAAGATATGAAAAGGGAGAAGAGTAATAGAAAGACAACATGAAAAGGTTAGAGAATGATTATTGAATTTAGGATGGGAAGGTCAAAAACCTTATATAACGGCTACAGGTAGTGGACCACTCACTTCCAGCCATCAAACTTTTCATATCCTTAATTGTATTGTCTTTACCTTTTTTTTCTTTAGTATACAGTATGTCCAACTTCTTGTTTTCTATATATAGAGAAAGAGGGATAATCTTTTAGAAGTTGTATCTCTTCATCTCTCTTGTTTCATAAATTGATAATTCAATGGAGAAAGTAGAACATAAGGAGTATGTCATAAATGATATTAATATAATAAATAAATGGTGTATTGTATTGTCTTTATTATATATTTATTCATGGTAGTTTAGATAATTAAGAAATGTTAGATGATAAAAGAGGAAAATAAAAGTTTTTCAAAGATACATTTTAAAGTAGTATATATTTGTACATCTTAGTCACTCTAGAAGAATGTTAGTCTAATTCATAAACTTGCAGCTTGGGAATCATGGATCGAATTTGACGGAGGAAGAGCTTGAGACACACACTATTTCAGCATGGAAAGAGGTGAAATTACATCTCTCCAGGCAAATTGATGGCAATGCAAGATCGTATTCAAGACATCTTGTACACGTAAGTTCCTCTTGTAGATGACGTGTCTACCTTCTATGGCATGCAAAATTAGTTCTGACCATTGATTTCAACAGATTTTCATTTTGTTAGTTTATTTCTTTTGCATCACATTGGATGGGTGGTATATTTGGGTTTAGGTGATGATAAATAACATGTAGTCTTCTGCTTCAGCTACCAAAGTCCCTAGTTATTATGTTTTGCCACATACTTCATATCTTAATGTGTAAAACATTTTGCGCTTCAATTTACAAAATTGAAAAAAGAAAAGAGAAAATACATATTGCTTGGAGAGAAATTTTAGATATGAAAAGAGTCCAATCCAATATCAAACAACTAACAGTAGACAACTGAGAGCTTTCATTCATAGAGTGTTGAAAAATTACAGACGTGAACTAACACCTTAATGTCCAATCAGGGAAGCATAAGTGCACAACAGGCTATGAGATGGTAGCGATGGCATGTTTGCTCTACTATCTCCTTGTGTAAAGGCTTATATTACTCCCCTGAACAAGAATTACATCTTCTTAGGTTCCTATATACGATGTCTGGTTTCACTGAGATATATATTCTGGAAGTGACTAATTGATATTGTCTGAAGTTGTGGGATTTTGGATGTGTGAAGTAGTCTTTACTAGGTGTAGGATGTTACTGGACCAAGTTTCACAGTTTTCAATTTTTAGAGTTCTAATCTAGCAGTAGGAACATTATGACAGCCTATCGATGCTTATTTAATTTTCACTTGGTAGAATATTATATTATAGAACTAGAAATTCTGTGATGTGTGATGCCACCTTAACTTTAGATGGTGAAGCACAGGAGAATGATGGAGCGGATTATGGTTCTTCTACTCATTCCTCTCTTCTCTCTTATCTCTGCAATCAGATCCTGCTACTGAACACTGGTCTTTTATTGCTTTTTAATTTCTCATCGAAAATCCCACTCCAATAAGCTCTAATCCTCTCCCTACTCTTTCAGTCTTCAAATTAGCATCCAACCCCCAAAAAATGTTTCTGTTCAAAGTTTTCAGGAACATAAGTTATATTAAACCAAGCAAAGTTGAAGGCCAAGCAACACTCGAATATGGCTTCTACCAAGAGTTTTGCGGAATAGAACTTTTATGGAACCACTTTCACAGTTTTCAATTTTTAGAGTTCTAATCTAGCAGTAGGAACATTATGACAGCCTATCGATGCTTATTTAATTTTCACTTGGTAGAATATTATATTATAGAACTAGAAATTCTGTGATGTGTGATGCCACCTTAACTTTAGATGGTGAAGCACAGGAGAATGATGGAGCGGATGATGGTTCTTCTATTCATTCCTCTCTTATCTCTGCAGTCAGATCCTGCTACTGAGCACTGGTCTTTTATTGTCTTTCAATTTCTCATCAAAAATCCCACTCCAATAAGCTCTAATCCTCTCCCTACTCTTTCGGTCTTCAAATTAGCATCCAACCCCCAAAAAATGTTTCTGTTCAAAGTTTTCAGGAACATAAGTTATATTAAACCAAGCAAAGTTGAAGGCCAAGCAACACTTGAAGATGGCTTCTACCAAGAGTTTTGCGGAATAGAACTTTTATGGAACCACTTTCTTCCCCAAACCCTACATGCTACTTCCAATTTTTAGCAACCCCACCCAGCCAAAAAAAAAAAAAAAAAAAAAAAAGGGGGAAAAAACACACACAGAAAAGGGCACGAGCTTTTCATAATCTTGACTCACCAGAATCTTACAGTATCCATCATTCATTGTTTATTTATTTATTTGTCAATAAGGAATTATTTGTTTATCAGTAAAAAACTATTGCAGATATCTTTAGTGAAAAAAAAAAAAACCTCTTCTTCGACATTATGTATATGCATGCGAGGCCCATATTATGCTCTGGTGTTTTAACTTACTCAATTGTAAAACTGTTGGTTATGCTTGAGTGGCCGCAACAGCAGTAGGAGTGAAAATGGATCGAGTAGAGCCGAGTACTAGGTTGTTCAAGCAGTGGTAGTCTATTTGTGGAAAATGTTTGAGATCGTGGGGAGCTCACAACACCTTTACCAAGCTCGTCTCGTCAAATTTTAACCCAAAACTCGGTCTTGGCTCGGTTGGAAGCAAACAAGAGTTCCTCTATCACCCCCCCTCCCCCCCTCCCCCAAAAAAAAAAAAAAAAAAAAACCCAAAAATATCTCCAAAATTTGAAAACCCTAACCCAATCAAATTAATAAATTAGATAAATCTAAACCTAAATAGTAAAATTATTGCACAAAATCAACCCCAAAACATGCAAAACACAAAATTAATAAAACCAAAAAAAAAAAAAGAAAGAAAAATAACCTAGTACCGTGATACGCGATCTGGAGAGTGGATGGTAGGTGACCTGGGGATTTGCATTTGCCAATCGTAGGTATGGTCTTCCCTCTCCTTCTTCTCCACTTCTCCGCGTTGCCAAAGCAGATCTGGTGGAGATGGTTTGATCGAAGCCTTTCGTTCTTCTTTTCTTTCTATTTGTCGCGATTCTGGAATGAGAAGTGGGGATGAATGCTTAATTCACTTTTCCCCCTTTTTTTTTTCTTTTTCCAATCTAAGAACGATGGCAACTTTTTTTTTTTGTTTCAACCCCTCAAATTTTTAAAATGTCAAATGATGCCCCGTTGTATCCCAACTTAAGCCCCGTCCTCGTGTATCCGAGCCGTATCCGGTTGCAAAAATTCTTTTCTCCAGTTTAGGACACTTCTAGAAGTGTTGGACATGTGTCCGTCAGACATTGCCACAGCGACTCCCAGGCAAGTATCTGTGGTTCCTACTGTAGTACCCTTGCCTCTCTGTTCTAAAATGTCATTCCCAGTTTGTGTGTTTCCACTTAGAGCTGGTGGAGCTCCAATGCTTGTTTATGAATGTAGACTACCTTAAGTATATAGTTTTAAACTAGGCAGCAACCCCTCTGAAGATGGTAAAAGTAGCAAAACGTTTGCTCATAATGATGAAGGTTGTGAATATGGTATGGTTGGTGATGGTGGTAGTGTTCTACATGGGAATGAAATGATCCATATCGTGCATGGTAGCGTGTCTCACACACAGATACACATATATCCATATAATTATATACTAGCAAATTCTAATCTGCTCATGATACTAGGCAAATCGTACAAGAAATGTCCAAACTTGAGTTCATTCATTAAAATATATTTAAAATTGAGCTTGAGCTCGGTTCATTTTGTAAATGAACAAACATGAACGAGCTTTAGTCCGAGCTGATCCCGGGTTGTTCATGAACAATTCGATTCATTTGCTCCCCTATTCAGCAGCGACTCTATGCCGAGTTTGGTTATTTTATTCCCATTTCATTGTGTATCTTCATGGTCCTTTGGCTTTGTGCGTTTTTGTAAGACATTTGTGCTATTCTACTATGTTTTGTGGACTATTATAGATCCAGAGTTCTTAGCCTAATGTAATTATTTTTGAGCATATAATATGGAAATTATATATGCTGCTCATATGTAACAAATATTTCTTTAAAGCATCAAACTCAAAGTCACCAAGTATTCAGTATAAGCAGGCACACAAGGCTCATACAATAATTTGTCAGGCCTTATACAAAACATTTCCCTTAACGTGTGTGATTGCAACTCGTATGTGGAGAGGTAATGTTCTAACTTCATGCTACCAACAACTTGGTTGAAGTACAAACATAACATACTTAAAGAATAGCTGAATGAGGATGGCAACAAACGTCTGAGGCTAGATCTGTAAGACTTTTGAACCCCATATGTTTAGGACAACCAATGTGGGTCAAGGCTCCAAGCACATAACAATGTCCAAGGTAGATATTCTCTGAAGGCTATGTCTTCAAATCATATTTGATGGGACCTTTTAGTTCTTTTATCTCTGCTGATTATAAGTGTTTGGTTTCATCATAGACCACAGAATGAGAAACTATTCATTATAACGTCTTTCCTATATAAGGCAAAGGTTGGCTTGCTTTAAATTGTGAACCATGTCTTAAGTTTGCTTTTATTCTAATATCTGCTACTGGTGCACCGTTCAGGCTGGGCCTTATGATTCTTTGAAAGATGTTGCTTTGAAACTGTTGCAAAACAAAGTTGCGACAGTTCCTATTATTCACTCTTCTTCACAGGATGTCTCATTTCCGCAGCTGCTACATTTGGCTTCTCTAGCTGGAATCCTAAAATGTAAGTTTTCTCTTGGTGTACTGGTTAAGTGCATATAACCATTGCTAATATGTGAACCTTATTTTTCAGGTATTTGCAGGCATTTTAGACATTCTTCTAGCTCCTTGCCCATTCTTCAACATCCAATTTGTTCTATCCCTTTAGGTACATGGGTTCCAAATATTGGGGAATCAAATGGACAGCCATTTGCAACATTGAGACGTAATGCCTCTCTTAGTGCTGCCCTTTCTCTGTTAGTTCAAGGTGTGACTTCTTCATCTTCCTTACCCTTATATGCCATGGTTGTATTATTTTTTTGAGTTAAATCACTTGGTTTTCTAATCACAAATTAGTCTTCAGCCGGAGTTTCTTGTCTCATACCTCAAATTTCGCATTCCTTGTGGTTCTTCTTGTGTTATCTATCACTATATGAGGCCTCACTGAAGGATAATTTCTTGATCTGATTGATAGTTTCTGTTATAGTATCATTTCCCTTCTTAGGTAATGTGAGCTTATTATACTCCCCCTCCCTGCCTTTTCTTTTCTTTTTTCCCCTCTTATTTTGTGTAAATATGATGTTTTTTGTTATTTGAGGGAGTACCATTTCTGTGCTTATTTATGGATGAACTTATTCATCTAGATCAAGTAAGTATCGGTATAACAAATCATTTTTCTCATTATGGTCACTGAAACAGTTTTTGGGATTTTGTTCTGTACGACATCAAATGTTTCAATATCTGTAAAAAACAAGTAATTTTCAAGTTTCATCTGCTGTTTTGTCTTGTCTTATGGAATTTTATCTTTTCCTATTGCAGCTGAAGTTAGTTCAATACCAATAGTGGATGACAATGACTCACTGCTCGATATATATTGTCGAAGGTAATTTTCTGTTCTGCTGCATCTTAAAGACTATATCTGTAATTTAGACATTGGTCATTGAATCCCAATTCCATTTGTTAATTGAATATTATATATGCTTGTTATTCCCTTGACAGTGACATCACAGCTTTGGCAAAAGACAAGGCATATGCGCAAATTCACCTTGATGAATTGAGCATTCATCAGGTAAATTCCGAAAGCTAATCTGAGAAAATTGCTTAAGTTTAAGAATCAGTGTAGCGCCATTTACTTGTAAACAGTTAGTCTTAATACTTGTTTATGAATGTAGACAACCTTAAATAGATTGTACTTCTTCAGAATGAGGAAAAGGGAAAGTAAGTTCACTTTCGTATTGTTGTTTATTACTTTATTGCTTCTTTGAGGTGGCCAGAAAAGTTAGTAAGAGAGTATGGTTGTGCTATGAGAAAAGGTTGACAACGTCACTTTGCAGTATAGCTATACATGTTGGTGTCAGTACTCAGTAGTAGTACTGCAACAGTTAAGGTCATTTAATTTATGTGCTTGCTATGATTATTCAGCATGCTACTTTCCCCCCCCTTTTGTCCACTATAATCTCTACATTTACTGTTTTCTCCATATCTTTGGACACTTAATCACGTAATTAATATAGGAACTTTTCCACTGCTTATCCATATGATATTACTGCCTTGATTCTAGTGATCAGTTGAACTAAGGTATGCTTCCTAGATTCTATGCAAAGAACCTTCTGTAATGATGCTAATGATGGTCATGAAGATATGATCAGATGAACTAAGGGATTGTTTTCTGCCTTTTCATGATTTCAATTTTTTTGTCTTTCAAGAGCTCTCTTGTCGGGAATGATTACAGCAATAGTTCAACAGAAGAATTAAGCTCGAAATGAAGTTCATTTCAGAAAATTGGTTTGTATGTACCATATGACTGAGAACTGCCCTTGTGTCTTTTTCCTTTTTCCGATGTAGGCACTCCAACTGGGACAAGATGTGAGTTCTCCTTCCAACGGGCAGAGATGTCAGATGTGTTTGCGATCCGATCCTTTGCACAAAGTGATGGAACGGCTAGCAATTCCTGGTACTAGTTTTAGAACTTTTGCTTTCTTCTCCTCCCAGTTTTGACATTTTATTTTAAGTTTTCGCATCACTGTGATAGGTCTTGTAGATATTGTTTTATCAGGTTGCTCAATTAGTTTAAAGTAACAATTTTTACCTACTAGAGCAATTTCTGGCTTATGTACAGGGGTTAGGAGACTCGTGATTGTGGAGGCTGGTACTAATCGTGTAGAAGGCATAATTTCTTTGAGTGATGTGTTCAAGTTCTTGCTTGGTTAGGGAAACAGCTGGCTTTTTTAGGAAGGGGTATGTTATGCTGGCTTTAGTTAGGGGCCATTTATTCTGATGACACTCAAATTGTTGTCTCATCTGTCGTCAACCCCGCTTGCCTGGGCGCACGGTCTTTTTATGGTCTTCTGAGTCATTGATTGGATGGGCATCAAGCTTCTGAACCCCACCTTTTTTAGCATACAAGTTCGAAATTTGAAAGGAAAAAAAAGTCTGTAAAGTGAGAGAATTCATACTTTTTTTTTTGTTTTTTCCTTGCTTTGATCTTTATAAACTAGTTATTTATCAAGTCAGCCGTCTTGCTGGTACAACCGGTATGTTTCTCTTTTTCTGCTAGCAGGAAACTGGCGAAGAGTTACGAAACTGTTGGCGTCACCTATGCTGTTGACGGCTGTGGTAAAAAGTGGGTTGATGGCTCGTGTTTTTTCTTAATTACTGATCTCCACCTTACATTTTTGTTGTAGCATTGCTCTGAACATTTTATGACTTCCTTTAACAGAACCCACACACACGTAGGTTCTGTGGTTTATCGTTTCTCAGTTTAGACGGCGTGTTTGTGTTTCATGCCTCCATGTTGTAAATGTATTCAATTCATTGTGATGGCTTCCGGACATACCAACTCACATCTGCTGTTAGAATATTCGGTCGGTGGGCGGGCGGCGTTAATGATCTAGTAGAATTTTTCACTTTCCCTCTTTGTAAATAGCTTCACTAGTTTTTGCGCAGACAAATGTCGATCGAATCCGCCCCCAAATGTGTGATTCGGCAACTAAAGGAAAACATTTATTTCGGTTGGCCTGGTGGCCTCAAGGAGGGAACCGTTAGGGTTAAGGTATAGTTGGAAGGAGATGAGTGCGTAAAATGAGTATAGAATGATGGGGGTGGGGGGTGGGGGGTTAGGTAATTTGAGGCTTAAAACGGTATCTATAAATAAAGTTTTCTATGTTTAGTATAAATTTATTATTCTTACCTTTGAAATGAAAAAGTACTAATTAAGTTTTATATTTAAGTTTTGTTATCATATATTTTTTTTATTAATTAATAGTATCGCTAATCTAACTAATTTCTCTTGTGATATAGTTGGTCTGTTTTTTTATTGGGTGTTGGCCAACTGTGAGAGAGAGAGAGAGAGAGAGAGAGAGTTGTAAGTAATGATTTGATTTGATAATTTTTTTTATCATTAATTTTTGTAATTTTTAATGTTTCGGTTGGATTATAAGCCTAAATGATTGAATTTAAAATTATTTTTAATTGGATATGTGTTTTTATGTTGTTTTTTTGTCAAGTTTAAAATATTTATGAATTTTGATGATGCACAAAAATGATTTTGCACACCACCTGTCAAGTGTAGGTAATAAATGCAGTGAAATCAATGAGAAAATTAAATAAGACACAATTTATAGTGGTTCGGTCAATTCGACCTACGTCCACTCTTCAATGGCTTCAGTTGCCGGGTATTTTATTGATTCAAAGGTATAGATAATAGAGATACAAGCTTTGAGAGAGAGAATGGAGAATCAAAGAAATAGTAATCTCCGGTAGTCGGTTCGTCCTCTATAAGTCTTTGGTGGGGCGTGCCTTTTTTCTCTTCTACCAGATTGGAGCTATTTTATAGCAGCTAAGAGATCATTCTCGTGGAGATCATGACATATCCTCAAGGCTTCTTTATCGCAGCTAAAAGATTATTCTTGGTGGAGATCACGACTTATCCTCAAGGCTTCTTTATCGCAGCTAAGAGATTATTCTTGGTGGAGATCACGACTTATCCTCAACGGAAAGGAGGAGGTTGGGGAGCTCTTTATGAAACGTGGTCAAAGATTGGACCGTTTCCTTCGGTGGTGCAGATAAGCTTCCCATGCTCTCCTCTTGGTGACGTGCTAAGCAAAAAGTCTAACCGGTCTTGGACTGTCTTGGGGTTGGTGGAATCAAAATGAGGTTGGGCTCCTCAACTAGGATTGGACTTTAACACGTAAATTGGACTATTTGGGCTTAACCCATCATTTGTCCCCCAATGGCCCATGTCCAAGGAGACTTGGAGAAGGAGGCATTGATTATATATATATATATATTTTTTTTAAAAAAAATTTCAAGCCTTTCCCATTTTATTTTGAAGAGGGAGTGGTGGAGGTTGAAGAAAGGGAGGAAGTAGACACCATTTTGGAGAACTTGGAGGCTAGTTTTGAGCATTCGAATGCTGTCTTGGACAGCTTTGGGGCTGAAAATGAAGGGCTGGACAGCGAAGGGGAGATGGGCAGCGCGAGGAGTGGCTTGGGCAGCGAAGGGAGACGGCTGGGCGCGCGATTGGACAGCGCAGGCGCGCTGGGCGAGCAACTGGGCAGCGCAGGCGCGCGGCTGCGCAGCGCGCGCGCGCGCGCGGTGGGGGCCTGGGCGGCTGCCTAGGCTCTGCTCCTCTTGTCCTGGACAGCCCAGGCGCGTTGGGCAGCTGCCTGGGCGCTGGCCTTGCTGTCCTGGACAGCCCAGGTGCGCTGGGCAGCAGCCTGGCTGCTGCTTCTGCTGTCCCGGGCAGCTCAGCTGTGCTGGACAGCTTCAATTCTGCTGCGCTGGGCAGCTTTGGAACGCTGGGCAGCAGTATTTTTCCATCAAGGGGCGCTGAAAATCAGTCCAAGGTTCATCAGGGAGAGCTAGGCAGTGGCCTGGGAGCACGGGCTGATCCGATTCTCACTCGAGGCGCTGATTTGGGCCCCTTAGGTGCTGATTTTTGCGCCAAAAATTCTGCTTTGCGCAATTTTGAAGGCCAGGCACCCTTCAAGCTACTGGACAACTTTGTTTTGACGAGCAACAACAGTCAGGCACACTTCTAGGCGCTGGGCTAGACATTGCAAGTAGTAAGGAAGCTTTGGGTGCTGCTCTTAATGATCAAGCCCTTCCTAGGTGCTGGGCGCCTTGGGTGAGCCTGGAGCTGCCTCGGGAGAGCCTGCTTGTGATGACAAAAATAATGTTATTCCAAACATTAAAATATCTCACATAATTACCTGGAGAGAGAAAAGTAGGCTGCTTGCACAAGAGCAAAGACAAAGTTGGAGAACTACTCGTGAGAGAGCTACACTTTTTGAGACCTAGCTTTTGGCGACCCATGAGGGAGCCTTTAAGCTTGAGGTATAAGCTGTCTGTTTGAGAACAGTGCAGAGACCAAGCTTTTTTGGCGACCCCCAAGAGAGCCGGTAAGCTAGAGATAGACTGTCTGACAGTGTAGAGGCCAAATTTTTTTTGGCGACCCGTGAGAGAGCCGCTAAGCTGGAGATAGGCTGCCTGTTTGAGAACAGTGCAGAGGCTAAGTTTTTTTTTTTTTGGCTACCCGTGAGAGAGCCGCTAAACTGGAGATAGGCTGCCTGTTTGAGAACAGTGCAGAGGCCAAATTTTTTTTTTTGGCGACCCATGAGAGAGCCGTTAAACTGGAGATAGGCTGCCTGTTTGAGAACAGTGCAGATGCCAAGTTTTTTGGCGACCCGTGAGAGAGCCGCTAAACTGGAGATAGGGTGCCTGTTTGAGAACAGTACAGAGGCTAAGTTTTTTTGGCGACCCGTGAGAGAACCGCTAAGCTGAAGATAGACTGCCTGTTTGAGAACAGTGCAGAGGCAGGTCAAGTTTCTGGTGATCTGTGAGATGATTCACCTTGCCTAAACTTGTTGATTTCCTCAGCATTCATATATCTTTGAGCTTTTGTGAATAGTTCTGGCATGCTCTTCGGTGGGCGCTTCAGAACTGAGAAAAGGAAACTTGATGAACAGAGGCCACCCAAGAAGGCGGTCATCGTCACCTTGTCGTCGGGTTCATCAACTTGGAGTACCTCCTCGTTAAAACGAGTGAGGTAACTCCTCAGGCTCTCCTCGCGGTCCTGCTTTATACTAAGCAGGTGCGTAACTGGCTTCTGGTGGCGACGCCCTCCTATGAAGTGTGAGACGAATGATCTGCTAAGCTCGGCAAAAGAGGTAATAGAGGCGGGGGAAAGCTTAGCAAACCACTGTCGGGCAGACCCCTTTAATGTGGTCGGGAATGCCCTGCACATGATTTCGTCTGGTACGTTGTGCAATTGCATCAAGGTCTTGTAAGTGTCGAGGTGGTCCAGTGGATCCTTTGTTCCATCAAAGGTCTCCACAGATGACATTTTGAACTTCTGAGGGAGGGGGTTGTTTGCTACATCAGGTTTGAAAGGGGTATCAGTACGCCTTACCAGGTGGTCAACAGTCTCGGGTCCCTGTGCCTTCATGGCGTTGAAGACATCACCGAGTTGATTCTGTACCTCCTTTATCTTCTCGTCCCAATGATTGGGGGCTCCTATGGAATGATCATGGAAGTGGCTTCCATGCCCCATGCTTTGGTTTTCACCCTCATCCTTCTGGAGATAAAGGTCCTCTCCCTGGAAAGCAAGGGGAGGGGGAGGTGCAGCTCCCTCATGTTGGGCTTCCCGAAGTGGGGTGCCCAATGGGGCACCCGGGCGTGGAGCAACAGGGTGTGGTGCTCCTTGATGTCCAGGATGTGGAGCTCCTTGGGGTGTTCTATGTTGTGCACCTCTGTGGGGCCCTCCATGTTGTGCACCTCCGTGTGGTGCTCCACGTTGTGCACCTCCGTGTGGTGCTCCACCTTGGGGTCCTCCATGTTGTGCACTTCCGTGTGGTGCTCCTCCTTGTCTAGCAAGTATGAGTTGCAGTAACTGTTGGTTTTGAGCAACCAGTTGCTGCATGGTCTCCAATATTTGTTGGGGATTCGGGGCTAGAATATCCGGAACAGGGTTGATAGGCGAGGGAGCAACCTCCTCCTCTCGTGGAGGATTGTCTTCGTGTTGGTTCATGGATCGAGTAGTGATCGCCATTAGTTAATGGATGTAATGTTCAGGAGTGAGAATTTTGTCGATTTCCCACAGACGGCGCCAAACTGATGATGCACAAAAATGGTTTTGCACACCACCTGTCAAGTGTAGGTAATAAATGCGGTGAAATCAATGAGAAAATTAAATAAGACACAATTTATAGTGGTTCGGTCAATTCGACCTACGTCCACTCTTCAATGGCTTCAGTTGCCGGGTATTTTATTGATTCAAAGGTATGGAGAATAGAGATACAAGCTTTGAGAGAGAGAATGGAGAATCAAAGAAATAGTAATCTCCGGTAGTCGGTTCGTCCTCTATAAGTCTCTGGTGGGGCGTGACCTTTTTTCTCTTCTACCAGATTGGAGCTATTTTATAGCAGCTAAGAGATCATTCTCGTGGAGATCATGACATATCTTCAAGGCTTCTTTATCGCAGCTAAAAGATTATTTTTGGTGGAGATCACGACTTATCCTCAAGGCTTCTTTATCGCAGCTAAGAGATTATTCTTGGTGGAGATCACGACTTATCCTCAACAGAAAGAAAGAAGTTGGGGAGCTCTTCATGAAACGTGGTCAAAGATTGGACCGTTTCCTTCGGTGGCGCA